GACAGCTGCTCCTCAGCCCGGGCCCAGTATGATACCCCGAAAGGTGGGAAGCCAGGTCCAACTGCCCCAGACGAATTGGTGTACCAGGTGCCACAGAGCACACAGGAAGTGTCAGGAACAGGAAGGGATGGGGAATGTGATATTTTTAAATAAATCCTTTGAAGATGATGCTGCTTTTTACAAAGCATCGTTTTAAAGCACATGGCCTTTTTTTTAATTATTAGTGGTAGTAATATATAGAATGTATTACGTATCTGTCACTGAAGTGGTTGGGGAAAATGTGACCGAGGTACAGGAAACTACTAATCTTGCCATCTTGCTTTAAAGGTGTTAGTTACTGTGGCACAGTTACTGCTTGCCTGTTAAATTTTGAACATCCTGTTTGTTACTACTGTAAAACACTATTTTTAATACAGAAAAAAGTTCCCTATAATGCACTTCAAAGAAATTAAAAATCACTGAAAGTATTTATTACCAATGCTGCAGGTACATTAATGAACTCAAGAGATGGCTCTCTAAGCCTGACTGGCAATAACGCATGGTACTGTTTTTGAAATATCTAATGGCTTGAAATTTTACTGTCTTTGTGAAAGGTGGGTACTATCGTGATTTCTTCCTTTTCTATTCCTATATTCCTTTCTGGATTTTTTTTAGTAAGTGTTGTAAGCACTAATTATAAAGCAAATTTTGATTATAGCCATATACACATATCCATTTTTCCTTAGGAAGATTTATAGCTGGGAAACTCTGACTTACAATAAGCGGGGTGATTGATTTTTCACTTTTTGACACTTTTAAAGAGCTTTAACACTTCAGGGTACTTGACCTGGTCTCATTTCTGTCTGTTTTGCCCCAGGCCCTTGGTGGCTTATCCTATTCTTGTGTTTATAAAATGTTTGTTTAGAGTTTTTTCCATAGGTGATGATTGCTCTATGAGTGTCATGAATTCAGATCCTCTAATATCTTTATGTATACTCCTCTGTGTGCAAACAGGAACAACTTTACAATTGGAAAAGCTTTAAAGGAGATTCCCCCCACCCCAACTTTATGTTTAACGGGAGTTTTCTTAGGAGAATTGTGACAAGTTGAGGGCTTCTAAGTGAATGTTGTAATAAACATGACCCACTTGTATTTATCACAGTGAAACACAAAATCCTTTCTTCAGAAGTAATATAAATTACCTTAAAAAACAAAAAAGGTAACCAGAATTTGTCCCTGTTTTTGGTTTTATACACACACATAAACACATATAAATTTTTCTTGAGTTTCAAGGTATTTTATTACTTTCTAGTCAAATAATTTTGAATTTTAGTTTCCCACGGTAAACTATTACACCAAATATAAACCTAACAAGTATTCTTCAGGACTATGTGATCGTGCCCTTTGTGTGGTAAGAGACATGAGTAGCCCTTGATGTCATCCCTGGGGAACAGACATTATAGCATTCTTGCAAATGAATATTCATGCCTTGTTTTCCATACCTCCTGGCAACTTCCTTGTCACCACTTGTTCATGACCTGCCCAGAACTAGTTTAGATTGAGTAAAATGGAAATCATCTGTAATTTTTTATCCTATAGTGTAAACACTGTTTTTAAACTGGCAAGATGACACGAGAAGCTCACCATATGATAAAAATATATGTACTTTTCCATCTGGTCCTAGTCATTTCTGTTGGCCTTTGCCACCAGACCGTGATGTCGCCAGAATTCATGGAATTTGAGTAAAGATGAACAGTATTCATTTTGCTTGCTTCCACAAATACATCAGTATTCTAAAACATTGCTTCAAAAAGAGAAGAGTTTATTTCTGCAGCCTTCCTGCCCTCTCCTTGTATGATGTTACTGGTTTTATTTTGACTTTTCCTTTTCCAGACAGACTTTGAAGTGCAGTTTCATTCATTAAAAAGCCAATACTTTGTTTCAAAATATTTGAAACAAAAAGCACAGATATTAGACTTTTATTAAAACATATATGAATGTGTAAAGCACATGTATTAATGTAGTCATCCCCTTTCAGATGGGAAGAGAGTAAACCAGTTTTGTTTTTTTTTTTAATTCATTGTTAGTACACAGAGAATAAACTTTTCCTCAAGTCATATATCTGTTTGAAGCTTTAAGAGAGATGTTTTCAATAACTATTTCTTTTTCCCAAAGAATTTTGCTGTTTTTGTGTAATTGTGTGTACCTGATTGTTTTTCCCTGGAGTTGTGTTTTTTGTTCGTTTGTTTTGTTGAGAGGCAAGTGTTTTCTGAAATGATGCTTATTTTAAGACTTAATTCATATTGCCACACTGTTTTCTCCTTGAACTACCAATGAGTTTTATAAAAACTATTAGTAAACCTTTATTTTTCTTTCCAGATGAAGAGCTGAGCCTGATTCAAATGGTTTTTCTGATTTGTACTTTTTTTTTTAGTTTGTTTATTTTCATGTTAGAGGTTTTTTAAATTTGTTTTTGTTTTTTACTATGATTATATGTCTGATATATACAGCTTTGGAGACAATCAAGTAACAACTGAAAATGTGAAAGTAACCATTTTTGGCAAAATTCCCTTGAATTTTTATTCTTTGCTTGAAACACTCAAAACATAAAGTCACTGGTTTATTGGATTAATTTTTTCCCTGTTAATGCAATGATAGAAATAGAATCAGACAGTGCCAAAACAAGTGTGGTCATTACACATTTCGTAAAATTACACTGACTTGGCTGTTACTTGATCTTAGGAACCAGTGTAGTTAAAGATAAGATATTGTGAATTCTGATTTTTGTTTTATTAAATGCTGTAAATCGAAATAGATCCTGTTGTATGTGCCAGGTCTAGTCCAGTTATTTAAGTTCACGTTTCATTATTTGCACTTTGCATTGAACAATGGGTTTGAGTATTTACACAAAAGTTAAAATTCTGATGTTATGTATACACTTGCCTCTCCCTTCCCCCAGCACCTTGGGAGTGGGGAGCAGAATATGAGCTCATGTACGTATGCATATGGCCACAAAGCTGTGGAAGGTTATAAAGCTTGGACTTCTTTGCCTTGTCACCTGGAGAGCAAAGCGCTATAGCAACACCGTGTCAGATGGGACAATTAGAAGGAACCAGTAGATTATGTGGGACATTGAAAGCTTTTCATACCCTCTTAAGAGAAATTAATAAAGCTCTACCTAAAAATATAATAATTACTTATTAGCTCTGCCTTTTGGTTCTGAATTTGAAGTCCCTAAACTGCAAAATCTAAATAAGAGTTGGATGGTTATTAAAATTCTTTTTAGGTCAACTGTGGCACCAATTCTCATTTATTCCAACTTGTGACTAGTTCCGTCTTTTTTATTTTTTTTGGCACTGGGAAAAGGGGAAACAAAACATATTGAATTACATATTGGAAATAAAAATGGCTTGGGCATCACTGATATTCTCACAGAATGTACTTTTCTTACCTCGGCATGTACTGTAGTCACTCAGTATTTGTATATGTTGCTAGAATTTAGATTGTATAAATAGTGAGATTTTAATGTGTTCATGTGTTTTTAATAAATTGTGTATATGTGTCTTGCTCAGATTATTTGGCTTAAATAAAACAACCTTGAGGTTTTTAGCTTTTTCTTATACTACACAGAATTCCAGATTCTTCAGTTTTCACATCACTCAGAAATTTTATGGCCAACATTATAGTGTTTCCAGCAACCCTTGAAAATGCCACTATTGCTTTTTTATTTTTTCGGTGGCCAGCACCATCCTTTTTGGAGCCTGATTTACTTTACATCAAACGGAACCTCAGCAGCCAAGCTGCAGCCTATGGCTGTGCGCGTGGTGTGAAGGAAAAATCACACTGAACACATGTGGATTCCAGTCTAGTACCTGCCTTTCCCACCTCTAAGTTATTAGAAGAATCCAATGAAACCGTGGCACTGTGCAAACATATGCTGGTAGTAACGGAACACAGTCCATAATTAATGTCTGATCTGGGTTATGGACTACTAGTATTCTCCCTCTTATACTGCTTTCAAGTATTTTCTTCCTGTTTCTGAGCCTGATCTAATATATCACTTTATACACTCCCTTTAGACAGGCCGATTGGTTGTCAGCAACACCAGTGTTTCCCAGTGATATTTATTGTTCAAAAAACGGTAAATCTTTCTTTAGCTTAACCTCTTCTGGCAGTTTTTAACTCCATCCTTCTTATAAATTCTACTTGTCTCTTCCCTCCTTCTTCATCTCTCCTTCCCCCACCTCCAAATTGCCTTTGATTATATTCATTAAAATTTGGGAAGGGACACTAGCTCAGCATACTCGTGGGACTGGCTTGTTTGCATCCGATAGATCAGACACTTCTCTGGTGCACCATAGGTAGGCAGGTAAGCTTTCCATTTGAAGATTAGCTTTATTCATATAAAAAATGGAGATTTTTCATGAAAATGCCATTTAAATCCAAAAAACAGCCTGACTCTTCTTAAGGGTTTACTTGCTCTGTTGTCTTTGCCTTTCCTAATTTACTTCAAATAAAAAGCCTTCAAATTTTAATAAATAAACCAGGCAAAAAATATTCAAGAATTTTCTCCTTGAGCTTGCCTAGCTCAGCTGCTTGGTATAAAGTTATTCTTTTATATTTCTTTAAAGTAATGCAAAGCCACTAGACTTTGGTAATTCTTTAGTTATTTATTCATCCAGAATTTTATGTTTGGCCTATTTCCTTTAACAACAACAAAAGCACCATCTTCATTCTACCAAATTACTCATCATGATCATAGTTTAGCTAATTGCAGGGGGAACAAAGCTTAATTAAACCAAGATGAACTTAGATTTCCATAGTTACGTGGTTCCTGTTTGCCACATCAAGGCATAATCTCATGCCATTGCCCACCAGCTGGGTTTACAGTAGCCAAATACACTTCTCAAAATGTCATTTTATAGTCAAAATCTTGTGGTAAACTAAATCCCCTTATTAGGAAATCGTATCCCTTCAAAAGTCTAAGATGAATTAACTATAAAAAGATGTTTAAAAACACCTTAGAAAACTAGCTTATTTTAAAAACAATGCAATCAAAACTTACTTCCTTAACGACTAAACATTTCTTGGTTTTCATAAGTTAAATATATAGTATTCACAGAAATTAAGCTGGTGGTTATGAATCACCAGGCAGCAATAGACTTCACATACATAATTATTTGACAAGTGCATCCAACATATTTAAAAATAAACTAAAAATTGCAGTATAAAAATAAAACTAATACTGTAAGCATCATTTGAGTCTGGAGGGTCAATCTTGAGTCAAGTTGATTACGAAGTTTTTTTCTATAATGTCCTTCAAAAAGAGCTGCTCTGCAGTCACATTGTGGTATGCATTCTAAAGAAGAAGAAAAATAAAATTACCATCTGTCCCACTCGCAAAATATTAACAGCGGCAATCGAATATTCTGTATCTACAAAGTGATAAAAAACAGGAATGTCAAGTAACAAGTCACGTATTTTTAACTTTTGTTACCTTTCTGACTTCTTTTTCCTTGATCATTATTGTATAAGAACTTTCCCTAAAGCCCACTCTTTCCACTTAAACTCTCACATAAGAGGCTCCTTCAGATCATCCCCTGGTATACTGAGTCATAGTATAAATCTAGAGACCAAAATTTTAAGTCAGAATAGGTTCGCTCATTTTTTTTAATCTGCCTGGAGAATAAACTATGATGTATGGTTCAGTTTAAGATGTGTTTTTAAAAAATTATTCTGTTCTATAGCTATCCTAATTTTCCTCAGGAAGTTGTTTTAATATTCTGTTCTTTAGATGAGTCTTAAAATGCCATAAATGTTACAGGAAAGATTAGGGAAGAGGAGAAATGAACTTAATCTAAAGGATGTTCCAGGCACCTGATTCTTCCACTACTGAAGTGTTTGTCTTACACTTTGGGGGCAGGGAGCAGGGGTGGGCGACAGTATTTGGGGAAAACTTAAGGGGATTGATTTCATGAGATATAGCCATATACATCAAATAATTCCTATTTTAAGATTAAAAGCGTACAGATAACATTTTAATCCTATTACTCATGATGCACCATTACTCTAAGTCAGAAAAGCAGGAAACTCCTTCCTAGTCAATTAAAATAAAAATCCTCAAAATCAAATCTACCCCTATTGATCGCTCCCCATTCAATCTAATATAAAGGTATGTAACCTTTTTTGACCATGAAGATTCCTTTGTGGGGCTAAAATATTCTAGACCATGTGGTCTACTTAACTGGAAAAGAAATTATTATGACCACAGCAATGCTTTTAGGTGAATTTGTATTATCTCCAACAGTATGTTGTCTATACTTAAATAGTGCAAATAGGATGGAATATCTAAAATAAGGCTTGGTCCCTGTGTGGATCTGATGACATTTGGCAGTAATCACAAGGGTCTCCCAATGGTGTGAGGCCCACAAATTGGGAATTGCTGCTATAGTAAAATGATCTCAATTTGAGTTCTAGTTTCAGCCCTTGGTAGCTCTGTAACCCCCATCAAGCCCTCAACCTCTCAAAACCTGTTCTCTCAGTAAAATGAGAGGGTGAGAAGAGAAAATATGAGCTGTCCAACACTGAAGATCAAAGATTATACCCAAGTATATGTATATTACCTCAAGCATATTACCTTATTCATCAAAGACATGGTGGCATTCCCATAGTAGTGCAAAGGACTCTTGAGGTCAGAAAAGTTGTATTTAAAGCCAGCTAGGTGAACTTCATGACATATGTGAAAGGCCAGTGTGATGGCAATAATTCCTGTCGTTGGGTGTTTGGGTTTCTAGGAGGGGAATGAAAGTTTTTTTAAAAAAATCCAAAGTACTTGTTTCCAAAGCATATTTGGTTGGCCTAATTTTATAAAACAGGGATTTCTGAACATCTAATCAGGAAAGAAAGATTTAAACCTTCATGTTCTAAGGCTCACACCCTAAACAGTACACATATATACTCCGAAAAGTATAAACAGCCAACTCCTTCACTAGTGTACGATATTTTACCACATCTCTCGTCTCAACAATTTTGCTTCTACACTTATGTACTTTCTCCCTTCATCATCAATATTTTCCTCTATTAAATCATTCCCTTCAGCATACAAACATATCTTAAAAAAATGAATAAAACAAACTTGCTTGATCCTATGTCATCTTCCAATTATTGCTCCATTTCTCTGATCCCTGTTCTAGCAAAACTCCATTAAAGATTTGTCTCTGCTTGTTCATGTCCCATGTTCTCTTTAACTCCATTCAAACAGGATTTCCTCCTCTTTCTTGTCAGTATCACCAGTATGACCTCCATGTTTCCCAAACCAGGGTTTATTATTTGTGCTTAACTTCTGCACAGCATCGGACATGGCTGACCTTTCTCGAAATATACCAGGTCCTCACTTGGCTTCTGGGACACCATGTCCTAGGAGGACTTTAATCTAGTTACAACTATTTCTAATATCTCTAATTATAATCAGGGTTGTCCTGTGCTTTTGGAATTGAAGATATTACCTAAAAAAAAAAAAGAGCAAAGGATACATCTGATCATACCTCACTTAGGAAAACAGGAGCTGAAAAGTCACAAAACACATTCTGAAGCTGTCCTTTACCCTCAAAATTACTAAGGCGTCGAGTTTAAATTTCAAGTATGTATGCTTTGTGACTTAAGAATTCCTCTTCCAGGAATCTATCCTACAGAAATAACACAAGTGTGCACAAAACCCCTATAAGCACATGCACTGCTAAATTATTTATAGAGGAGAAAAAGCTGGATACATCTAAATGTAAATACGGGAGTAGTTAAACAGACGGGAAAAAGAAAACAGAACAATACCGATGGTATAATTGTAATTATGTTGAACAAAGAAAAAGGGTATGTGTATGTGTTCGTGAATGCACGGGAAATAGTCTAGAAGGACATAAAAGGTGGAAAAGATTGGGACATGACATGGGGTATAGAGGGAGGGGAAGGATGATTTCCTTTTTTATTTTTAAGGTGGAAAACCTTGGGAGATGCTACGGGTATAAAGGGGAGAGATGTATGATTTCCTTTTTTTTCTTTGTTTCTAATATTCCTTTATAAGTTATTTGATTTTAAACATGTAACACTTTAGAATTTCTTAGTCACAATTTTTATCATGCTAAAGAAAAGGTACACGATGTATATTTATTTCTTTGGATTTTCCCTGCTTTACAAAGAGGGAAGAACCTCATTTCAGCTGAGGAATTAAGTTAAAAGAGTTACTCAAGCTTCTAATGAAAAATACATCTCTGCCACTGTATGGAGTCTAGAGAGTATTGTCTTCTAGGGAATGTAGGCAAACAGGGCTACTAGAGCCAAAGTCAGTGAGATTTCATTTAATTAAATAATTTGCAGTTTCAAGAACGCTTTCAATACTGATGTAACTACCATTTCTTGAGAATATAGTGCCGATGTTTCCTCTGTCCAAAGAAATATTTCTGGACTACCTTATTGTCTTTCCTCACCTTTCCTCAGGCTTTCTTGTGGTATTTTTATCTAAATGCTTTGGACAGTTCCTTTTATCCTGAAAAGCCATGCACTTGTCCTGAAGCCAGTCCTATTTCTCTGAGTACAAGCCTACCCTTCCGCCCACCCAGTCGGACTCTTCTTGCTGCAAACATTGAAGATCAAGTTATGAGAGAGGAACCATTCAGACATGCACAAAGAAATCCCAGGAAGGCTCTGTAAAGGCAGGAAAACCCCTTCCTCTTAAGATTCTTTTCCTTGCAACCTGAAAAATGTAAAGGTAATACCCACAGATAACTAATTTTACTGACTCAGATGTGGCCCTCAGAAATCATCTCATGAGCTGTGGTTCTCGTACAGTTTCCAAGAGCTCCCATGACCTTCTGTCCTACCTCAGCCAGATCTTTAGTTTGAAACCTTGCAAAGATAAATACATACCTGATTTTTGGGAAACACTTTTGGAAAATGAAGCAGTTCATAAGCTGCTGTTCTAATAATGAAAGGATCTAATATTCTGATTTGATAAGGTTTATAGATCAGGCTTAAGGCTGGTTTCTTCCAAAAACCATTAGTGTTCTGAAATAAGGTAAGAACATAGAACGTTATGGTTGTCTTTGTTTTTAAAGAAAAAAAAAATAAAGTGATCTGAAGACAGGTCAGTTTTGCCAACTTACTATTTTGTCACCCATCAACAATTCTGACAGCCACCTTAAATCATGTGGCTTAAAAACAGTAAGAATTGCTGTCGTATTAGGATCATTGTGAATGGGATCTGAAAAAACAGATTCTGGATAAAAAAGTCGGAAGGTTGTCCTTCTTCCAACTTCCTCTTCATGTCCTAAAATAGGACCATTATTCATTCTGTGGGTAATAAAATACACAAGATTTCCATTACAATTCTCAGAGGTTTCAGAGTTGGACAAACATCAGCCATTTATCCTGTGCTCTAAAGTCACAAGACAATTGATCTATCTTTTACATCTAATGGCCAAAGAGATAATTCCCATTCAGGAAATAGCTACTTGATCAAAGGCAGAAACATTCATTTGTATTTGAAAATTAATTGTGGAGCCAATATAATTCAGTTTTACTGCTAGGAAAACTGAAGAAATGGGGACACAGAACCAGAAAATACCATACTTTAATAGAGACCTTAGAAGACGACCATACGAAATCCCTTGGATTTACAGATAAGGGCTCTGAGGTCCAAAGAGCTAGTTACTTGCCAAGGTCACACAGTCATGTAGCACATGGATGTGTGTCTAAGTGACTGACAGGCAAGAAGAATCACATTTAAGTTGGTTTGAAGACCCATCAAAATTGTGCTCTGAAATAAAGCAACGATATAAAATTGCTGTATTACACTTAAGCACAACCAAATGAATGTCTACTGCTAGAGTGAACTAAAGAACCACAAAGGATCTACTGTGGGGTTTGTGTACGCTCAAAGCCAAGGTTAGACATGCACAATTTATGCGCACATTATGAAGGCATGCAATAAAAAAGGAATGCTTTGTTTCCAAAACAGTGTCCCCTAGGAGGATAAATACTGTTTTACTCTTTGCCACTGACTCTCTGTAATATAAGACAGTCTTCATAACACTTGAAATGACTTTCAAAATGTTGTACCCATGGTGTTTTCCCACAAGGTCTTCCTGTGGTTCTAAATGATCAAATTTAGACAATTATGCACAGAGAGACTGTGGTTGCTTCAAAATTGTTTTGTAGGTAAATTATCACAGCTTTCTCAAAATGGATAAAAACAGAAAATAAGGTGAACCTCTCCATGTAGAACCCTAGGTAGCTTATAACCCAGCAAAATGCCCAAAACTGCCAGGTCATCCCAGTGTGTTGCCCCAGTGTGCTGGCTTTCCCATTCTTCAAAAGACTATTCATGGCCACTCCTAACACGCACGCACACTCTTACCCCAGATCATGACCTTACCACAACCTTCCCTGTGAAAATAGAGACAGAAATGTCCTCATTTTCCCACTCCTACATCTAAGGGACTTCTGGTTGCCGTAACCACAATCCTGGCCCTCCCTTCCATTACAAAAGATTAACCATACTGTGCTCTGGACCCTGCGACCCCCTGACCCCTACCCATCTCTTTTACCACACCAATCTCTTTTTCTACTCATTTCCATCAGTTTACCAATATGCTCTAGCACCTCCTATCTGTACAAAAGAAAGCAAAACAAAAAATTCTCCCTCAATTGCATAACCATTTGCAGCTACTATCTCATTTCTCAACTCCCCTTCAGAGCAAAACTGTCAAAGAAGGTGACTGTACTGGTTTCTCCACTTCCTCATCTGTCATCCTCTCTTCAACGCATTCCAGATGGGCTTCTTGCCACATCATGCCTCTAAACCTGTTTTATCAAGAGTATCAGTGAGCTTCAGGTTGCCAATGGGCACCTCTCAGTCCTTATCTTGCAGGACTTCTTGCCAGCATTGGGACACAGTTGATCCCTCCCTCTGTCCTGAAACACTCTGTATTCTTGGCTTCTGAGATCACTTTCTCTTGATATTCTTCCTATCTCATTAGTGGATCCACTTCATCTCTTTACACACTCCTTTTTCTTTGCTCAACCTTTAAGTACCAGGTGTTCCAAGGCTCAATCCTGGGCCCTCTTTTCTCTCTTAGGCTCTCTCTGGCAAGTCTCACCCCGTCTGTGGTTTAAATACAGCTTATGGGCCACTCACCATCAAGATTTTAACCTGTTTGTCCAACTGCCTACTCAACTTATCCAGCGCAAATCTAATAAGCACCTCAAATCTAACATGTTCATACAGAAATCTTGTTTTTCCTCTAAACCTGCTCCTACCCCAGTCTTCCCCAACTCAATAAATGACGTCAGTCTCCAGCCAATCTCTTATGCTGAAAAGAGAGAAGGAGGTATCTTTGGTTCCTTTATTCCCATTCCTCCTCACATCCAACACGACAAATCCTGATAGCTCTATATCTAAAACATGTCTTCAGTCTGTTCACTTATCTTTTTCTCTCCCATGACAATCCTGTTTCAAGCCACAATCATCTCCTACCTGATTACAGAAGCCTAACTGGCCGCCTCCTTTCCACTCTTGTCCCTCACATTCTATCCATACATTGTTCTCTTGCTTGAAAGCCTTCAAAAGCTTCCTATTGTACTTAAAATCCAAGCTTCTAATCCCAGCTTATGAAATCCTACACAGCCTGCTCTTTGCTCACCTTTTCAGCTTCCAGTTGCACCACTCTCCCCAGCCTGCTACCCTCCAGTCTCTCCATGTTTTTTTTTTGGTTTATTTGTTTGTTTTTATGCTGCTCAAACTCAGGATCACATCCTCCTAAGAACCTGCAGGAAACGTTCTCTCTTGGACGGCTCTTCCCCGATCTTCACGTGGCTGCTACTGTATGGTCGCCTAGGTCTGGCTTTGATGTCTCCTCAAAGTGGTCAACCATTCTAAAGGAGCCTCTCAATCAGTTTCTATCATATCTTTTTTTGTCTCTATGGCATTTAAAAAATACAATTAGTTTCCCTCCCTTCATTAGAATGTAAGCTTCACAGGGAGCAAGAACATTGTTCTTATCCACTGCTATCTCCCCTATGGCTACAACTGTGTCTGGCATATTAAGGAGACTTAATAAATATTTGCTAAATGAGTGAAATCTAGGCCTAACTTTAGCCAACAGCTGAGAGAGAAGGTTGTGTAATCAAGTACACAAACATAATGAAGCAACTCCCATTCCTTTCAAAACAGAGTTGTAGTAAAGTAGGAAACCGTATTCTTCTGAAACAATTCTAGATTAGCAAGTAAGAAACATATTTACCTTATTATTATATCATAGGAGTCGATTTTTTCTCCTAAAGTCTTATTCTTCAAAATTCCTCCATTACCAACCACCACGCACTTCTTACATGGCAGGCTGTGGGACAGATAGGAAAGTGAGACATTGAGCCATCTTTTACGAACTGGGTGATTTCGAGAACCCATTCACACTTTCAGGAACCCAATGCCAAATTTTACGTATTGCACAAATAGAAAAAGAACCAATTGTGACTTGTAGATCTAGAGATGTATTAAGAGATACAAGATTCAATAAATAACATTCTATAGGAAGAGTATATCATGACTGTCAGCAACTATTAACTCTTACCAGTCTCTACACATTCTCTCATTTGATTCTCATAACCATCCTTTGAAATAAGTAAGCCTGATATCTCCATTACACAAATGAGGAAAGGGGTTCAGAAAACTGTTATATAACATTTCAAAGTCATACTCCAAAGAGGTAGAACTAGCATTTGGATCCAGACCTTCAGGCTGCAAAACACCCCTCCACATAGGATTCTGCACCTGTGTTTTGTATTATATGGGTATATACTTTTTACCAGCACTACCCATTCCTCTGAAATTCTACCTCTGGCTTTCTGTTACCTAAGTGTGGAGATGGACAGTTTGGAATCTGGCAGGGAGAGCTTTCTGTACCCTGCTCATACTCGTTTCAATTTCCCAAACACGGACTGGTCCTTGGAGCTTAACCAATGCAAACTAAAAGTTCACTCTATGTTCCTGGCAAACAGCCTTAAGTAGAACACAGAGGGGGACTTCCTGTTGCCAGCTGGGGTCAGCCTAGAACCATGGATTGCACACCGCTGGCTCTCAGCAAATATGGCCCTAGCCCACCTGTCTCCCAGCTCTTACCACCACCTGGTCAGGCCTGGAGAAATGACAAAATGGACCAGGTCCTTCCCCTCTAGAGGACAAAACTACAGAATGGAAGGCTGTTAAGGCTGTCCTTCCAGGGTCCTCGTGACATGGAAAGTCTGAAGAAAAAACCGTTTCTCTAAGAACTGTGAAATCAGCAGACCCATTGAACTCAGTACCTTAAGGCTTTTAGGAAATTAATGAGTAGCAAACTGTACAAATGCTGTAGAAGGTTTAAACAGAGAGAACGCAGGAATGCAGGAACTATTTAAAAAATGCCACGCATTGGCGTTATCAGGTTAAGAAGAGACAATGTACACATTCCTATACCCATAAGTTTACATTTTCTTAGTACAATTTGTCTAGCTCATGTAATTACTTTATAAGTTTTAACACTTTAACATTTTAAAAACATTTTTTAACACGTTTTAACTGGGGGCTCTTGTCTCAAAATATTAAAGCGTCATGCGCCTAAATCAGTGTCTACATCATCAGATGAGAACAATAAGCAGTTTCACATGCGTGTGGGGTTTGTGGGCGAGGGGGTGGGACTGTCCAACAGATGCTCCTTGAGGATGTCCCCGAAACCTCACACTATGGACGTGTCACATGTCACAATGTGTTCTAGACATGTTTGTTTAAATCTATTTGTTTGTTCTAAACTCGAGAAAGTAATATTATCTCTAGATGCTTTTATAAGCAACTTTGACTTCAGTCCCAATTCCAGAAAGCCAATTTTATCAAACGCTCCTTGGTCTGGGTCCAAGTAGCATGGCTGAAATGGGAGCCCCAGTGAATATTCAGACCTTTCCTCCCAGGGTATTATTGCCATTATCCTCACCAGTTCCATCCCAGGAACGCTCTACAGCACTCACAGCTTGCTTGGCCTTTTCATAACCTCTGGGTCAGCTTAATTCAGATCAGAGAGTAAAGCTCCTGAAGCTGGCTCCATCTCCCCCTGGGAATGCAGGGCAAGACTGGGCACTGGAGGGCATGGCTAAGAGCAGATGGGATTGAAATAACAGCTGTTCCCGTCAGGTGACCTGCATGGGAGTGGAGGAGGAGTACGACAAACAGTGCCTTGTCTAACCCTCCCCCTCCTATATAGGAAGCAGGAGGCCACTCCCTCGTCGAGGGAAAGGGCTGCCTTGCCCTGAACCCAGGTGCCCCAGGGGCTCCAGCATCCATCCTGGCCTGGAGTCCCCAGTCTGCCACCAGGCTGCCTGCCTGAGTCCAGCTACAGCAAACATACAGGGGACAAGGGCCAGAAGCACAGGCCACCAGCATATATCCCCCACCCCAGCTTCTTACCCTTAACAAAAGACTCCTGATCTGCAAGCCAAACCTCTGAAGTTGACCCCAGAAAGAGTAACTCAGCTCAGTCCTAGACATGGCCAGTTCTGTGAGGTTCAACAATAACTGTCGTGTTGGATCTTAGTGTTCACAGACATTTGTCCCTATCAGACTGGATTACAGATAGTCATCAAGCCCTAGATCACGTGTAGTTGAAAGAGCATCATGTAAGAGCAGCTACCATCTGTCATACTCCAGAAGCCACATCACCAGTCCCTACTCAGCCTCAAGGTTTTGGGCCTCCCCCTACACACCCAACTGACCCTTCCGGCCAAGAGAAAAGGGGGAGTTGCAGGCAGATCTCTTTTGCAGGATCCTTAAGAATTAGCTACCAAGAGAGGCTCATTCCTTGTGCTCAGTCTCTCCTATTTATGGTCCCAGCAGGTTCAAAGACTTGGAAAAAAATGGAAAGAAATCATACATTGCCTCACTCAAGAGAAGTCCCATTCCAAAAACTCTTTACAGTCCAATGTCACCATATTTTTAGGAATTTCGCTTTCTAGTTTCTTCTCTGTCAGCTTTATAGGGGACAGACAGAGCGGGGAAGATCCTTTACTGCAGGAAAAGCTTGCCAATGCCTTTGAAAAGAAACCTTGTTAATGAAATTCCACTTTTCCTCCTGGTAAAGGAGATTGCAAAGATGCACACATTTTTCTGAGAGTCACATATAATGTCAGAAACTCTTTTGAGGGTGTCCCTAGGACTACGCTGGCAATAACATCTTACCTACAGCTTGCATTCACAGGTCCACCGGGGTCTGGGAAATACGGAATGATACACACAAGCCGTCTGAACCACACTCCTCACAACGCACTGCTTCTCTCTCTCCCCAGAGGCAGCCCACACCATGAAAGGACTGTTCATTCTCTCCCTGGCTTCGTCCTCTTGGCCTAGGCTCCCAGCTTTCCCTGCCTCCTTACATGTGAAATAATGACTTTCAGTGTCCTTTGGGTGACTATATAACTTCACCATCTTTAATTAACACAACTTTCATGCACAAATAGCTGCCATGAATTGTGAGTCCCTAAAGGAAAGAATAGTATCATTTAAATCTCTGCATTTTTCCCATCTCAAACACTTCCTCATTCATAGGCTGTGCATTTTAGACATCAGTTTGGTTGTTACATTAAATGTGTGAGGCTCATTTTCCTACTTTCTCTCTGGAGAAGCAGGTACCTGTTACTCCTCCCCCAACCTTGGAAACATGTAGGGAAATGCACATGCCCTAAACTGCTCATCCAGAAAACAAAATTAATTCCAGAATGCCTGAACCTGTTAATGGAAAATCTGGAAAGCTGCTAAAACAGTAGCGGTAAGAGATTATACTTCCCCCAGGCGAGAGGCAGGCTTCTCATAAAGCCGGGCAAAGCCAGATGAGTTATTACCATATACAGAGGGGAAATGTCAGCATAACCAAAACAGAGAAAATAAATTTGAGTTGCTCATTTCAAATGATCTGTGGTGTGTCTCCTTTTCTGAATGCTATTTGGTCATTCATTTGTTCCCTTCCACAGCATCATGTACATGAAAACATATCACTGCTTTCATCTACAAATGAGCTCATTTCCTCTGCCAATGTTTGGTCTAGAGATACCCAAGTGACCTATCTCTGGACAGTAAGATATCAGGCAAGTCTGTTAGACGCTTTTGGAAAAGATTTTGCCTCTGGCAAAAGAATGGTGTGAGCAGAATACTTTCTTTTCACCCACCTCTTCCTTTCTGCTTAGACATTGACGTGTGATGATAAAAAGTTAGAGCAGCTGCAACTCAGAGGAAAAGAGAACCACAGAAAAATGAGCCTGGAGCCCTGACGTCGCTGAGCCACACCCAGAACCACTCCAAATAGACGCGCAGGTTGCACACAGTCCAATGTCAGGGAGCACCGTTCAGGTAACTATGTGTACCACCTGGCTCTCCCTGTAGTTGTGCAATCCGCAGTCTACACAGCCATAAGCAGCCCACCCCACAAACTGGAACCACAAATCCTCAGACCTGAAATCACGTATCTATGCAATATGGGAGATAAGAAAGATTCACTTAGTTTATATCACTTAATCAGGAGACTACTACTTGCAGCGAGAAGATCCTAAAACATTGTACGAGGGACTGTGGGTAGAGAGACCTGACTACCAGTTCTGGCTCCCCGCATGGAACCCTGGTATCTTGCTCTAGTAACCTGACCTCTCTGATCTCAGTTTGCCCTTCTGTGAATTAAGGGAATCACTGAGTTCATGAATGTTGTTATACTCTGTTAGATATGACCATTTCCTCTGGCATATGTACCAACATTTCTGTACCTTTATCCAACATCTGACCACAGCAGATGCCAGAAAACAGGTAGTAATGGCTGCTCCTATGTCTTCACCACATATGATTCACTCTGTTCATGTAGAATCACAGCTTCCCCTCACCCTCCAGTTTTCCTCCTGGCTGAAAATGCTGCAATGGCTGGGTACGGTGGCTCACACCTAAAATCCCAGCACTTTGGGAAGCCAAGATAGGAGGATCACGTGAGGCCAGGAGTTTGAGACCAGCCTGGGCAACAGAGCAAGGCCCCGTCTCTACTAAAAATCTTTTTTAAAAAAATTAGCTGGACATGGTGGCATGTGCAGGAATTCAAGGCTGTAGTGAACTGTGATCACGCCACTGCACTCCAGCCTGGGCAACAGAGCAAGACCTTGCCTCAAAAAAATAAAAAATAAAATAAATAAAATAAAATAAAGCTGTGGTGTAAAGAAACCACGCAAAACAGCAGGATGTCAGATATCTGGAGTACAGATGCAGATGTTGATATTCCTTACAGAGTCAGGATGCTCTTTTTAATAAATATACCACTAATGTCTACTACTTTTTTTTTTTTTTTAAGTTTTCTAAGGACATGTTCCCACCCTGGCTGGTAGCCAATCTAACCCAGCTCTGCTGACGCTAACATAATGGATTCCGCTTGAGAGAGCAACCATGTAGCTTTTAAAAATCCCCATCCACTTGGCAGGCACCTGACTTGACACAGGCGCTTTTGTCAGTGAAGATATTCTATGCGCGTGTAGTTACTACATAACCACCTACGCTGCGGGACTAAGCACTCTTCACAGCACCTGGCGCGCTTTCAGAACGCAATGTTGGTGGTTGGGGTGGGGAACTTTTTTGTATACTTAAAGTGCAAGCTAAGGTTTTGTGATTCAGGGTTTCTGCTGCTTCTGGCTGTGGGACGATACACTCCCATTGAGGAGAAAGCAACAATCCTCAGGACCAGGGGCAGGCTGATGCTAAGGAGCTATGTGGACAGCCAGAACGGAAGAGGGCCTTGGAATATGGGCACATTCTAAGTATTTCTTTTCTGTGATGCAATCCTCTTAAAAAATCCTCAATCTTGAGTGAAGTGAAGTTTGTCCCCTAGTGTTGGCTGCGCTTTGGAGAACAAAGAGAGGAACCTGGGTCCATAGCAGCTGCATACAGAAAAGTTGCACTGAGCTTGGTTGTTACAGAGCAGAGTTACATAACTGACTTCCAAGCCCTAAAAGTGACCAGGCACAGAAAGAGAGGGGGACCAGGAAAGTGATGGAGAATACTGATAAAAACGGCTAGTTGTCTGTCAATAATAGTATTTCCTTTGCCCCTTAAAGTTGGACTCACTGTTTCAAAGGTGCGCACACAGTCCCCTGGAATACAGGCTGCATTTTCCACCCCACCTTCCCAGCTAGCTGTAGCCTTGTGACTGAGTCCTGCCCAATGGGATGTACTCAGTGGCTGCTAGTAAATGTCTAATAACCGGTCCTGGGGGAGAAGAGGGAGCGTGTGAACGAGGGAAGCCCTGATTTTATAGTGTCTGCCAATTCCCATGGTATAAATACTTTTGCCATGGCTAATGTCAAGCTTCCACCTTGACGGCACCGAATATGGAGCTGACTACGAAGCGATGCAGTTCTCCCGAGTTGGTACCAACTAGTTCCAGCACATCACTGGATGAATGAAGTGTTATATGTGAGTTCTGGGAGATGTCCTTAAAGGAGGGGGCATGTCCTAAAGGGTTGGGGCATGCCCTTTGCCCGTTCCTCCTCACTGCTGGCAGGAATGTAGATGTGATTGGTGGAGATCCAGCCGTCATACTGGACCATGAGGAGGGAGTCATGTTTTGAGGAATGGCAGAGACAAGACAGAGAAGAAGCGTGGGCACCTGAGGATCACTAAACCACCAGGCCAGCACTAAATGTCTACCTGTAGGCTTCACGCACATGAAAACTGTGAGGAAAAGGAACACTTCTGTCTTATAATCAGACATTTTGAGTTTTCCCCTTCACAGTGTAATCTATCCTGACTGAGGGTTTCATGCATGCTGTACAAGATATCTGAACAAAATTGGGACTTACACCTGGTAGAATCTTAAAGGATTCAGATTTGAAACAACAATAATGAAATGTCTGAACCCTTCTGGAAAGTTCAAAGAGGACAGACCGAGAATAAAAGGTAAGAAAAAGATCTGTGCTTAGCTGCTGCACTCCAAAATATGCCAAGCATCTTCCAAAAGAATAAGAAAAGAGCAAGGTCAGCAACTATTAATACATAAATATCAGTGAAGAACACAGAAACAGAGGGAAGGGAACTTGAAAGGGGCTGACCTCATCCCTCTCTACCTCAGCCCCTCCTCTCTGACCAACAGACCCAAGACAAAGAGCCAGCCAGCCTATGCCAACAGGGCTTCCTCCTGGGGCATGTGGAGCCAGCTCCAACTCCGCAGGCCAGGGGCTCAGGCAGGACTCTCCTACCAAGGACAGACATTTAACCTTCTTTCTTTTTTCTTTTCTTCTCTTCTCCTTTCATTTCTTTCTTTCCCCCTTTCCCCCTTCCTCCTTCCTTCCTTCCTTCCTTCCTTCCTTCCTTTCTTTCTTGACAGGGACTCACTCTATTACCCAGGTTGGAGTGCAATGGTGCCATCATAGCTCACTGCAACCTCAAACTCCTGGGCTCAAGTGATCCTCCTGCCTCAGCCACCTGAGTAGCTGGGACTACAGTTGTGCGCCACCATGCCCAACTAATTTTTCTATTTTTTGTAGAGATATAGTCTTGCTATGTTGCCCAGGCTAGTCTCAAACTCCTGGGCTCAAGAGATCCTCCCACTCACCTCCCCAAGTGCTGGGATTATAGGTGTGAGTCATCATGCCTGGCCTTTGGCTTGTTTTTTTCCTTGTGTTGTATAACAGGCACCAGACAAATGTAGAATTATTTGTTTAAAATATAGGTGAAATTTAATATTACATGTGAACCGCTCCATAAAATTAAGTGCTATACAAACAGAAGATAATAATATCATAAATATATTCTTATCTATCTTCGAAATACTCTTTCTGAAGTCTCCAGGGAACAGGTTTGCACAAGTCAAATAAGCAATTTAGCAATGTTGACAGGACATCTGTGATGCTACAAAACAGGCACCACTGTGCTCACTGTGGGGCTCCTACAGGGGTATCTGCCGCTCGGTCTGTATCTACAGAGTCTCTGACTACACGTTTCCTCCCCGTCGCACTCCGACTCTTGGCAACTTCGGACTAAAGAACTCTCGCGCCGTCAGCATGATTTTCAATCCCTCCTCACCAACCACACCCCACCTCTCTCCCAGTACAGATTAAGCTAAGAAATGGACATAGGCTGATGGTGGAGAGTAGGAGTGTGCTTGGTGACAAAGGGGCAAAGGGCAGAGGACAGCAAGACCAAGGCAGCAAGAAGAGGGGGAAATGGCCCTGTGGGAGGAGGGGTTATGAAAGCAACTACATAAAGCACAGGAATGGGGTGGGGAACCTGCAGCCTTAAGGCCACATGTTTCCTTCTATGTCCTTAGCTGTGGCCTTTTGACTGAATCCAAATTCTACAGAGCAAATCCTTTTATTAAAAAGGGTACAGCATAGAAAGATGAAGCTTTTCTTGCCTCCTTTGGTGCTTAAAAAAGAGCAATCTTGAATTCACCTTCTTATAAATATTTGCAGACACTTGCTGCAAATATTTAAGGAATACCCATTATCACTCTTTATTCAGACATCCAAGCACTGGAGTTAGAACTATCTAGCTTCACATTCCAGCTCTGGCATTTACCAGCTGTAACAAACTGTATATGTTTCCCCAACTTCAGTCTCTCCATTTACAAAATTAGAGTGCATTGACACAAAGCACATATGTGAAAAGTCTGTACAAAACAATATTGTACAAATGAGATCTCTATGAAATTTTAGGTTGGAAAAAAAATACAGTTGCTGTTGATATGCAATCAAAATTAAAATTGATTAGGTTGATGGCACAGTCTTAAATTATGCCAAACTGGAATGAACCAACACACATTACACAAATCTACACTTCAATAATCTAGGTCTCCAATAGAGAAAAATGAGATAAACCCAGACAAAATCTAACCCTGGTTCTATAGCTCCATTCTGTAAACTCTATTTCCACTTTCACACCTCTATTCACTACTCCCAACCTCTGGACCCCTCCAACAGCAAGAAAGGAAATTTTACCATTTTCCTTTTTTGATGGAGGCCTGACATCTGTAGACAACCCATATCATCACACTGGCTCCCTGGCCAAATTCTAAAATGTAGCTTAAAATTTTGTGAAGTAAGTCTACCTCTGTAAAATAAGCCTACCTGCCAAGAAGTCTACCTTTGGCAATTCAATTTCTCTGGGGTCAACTTGACAACAAAATTTTCTAAAAACAAAGTTACATTTATAGTCAAAATATCTATCTTAGAAAGTTGTTTTTTGCTTCCTTCAAATATAATTCTGATTTTAAAAAGGAAGACAGCTGCTTCCAAAATCTAATATTCAACCTCCTTAAAAGTGAAACAGAAGAGACCTTCATGAGTTGTTGGGAGGATGTCTGGGAAAGGATGGGAAACAGTCCACAATGGGAGGCTGTGAGCTGGTAACAGGGTGTGTGAATTAATTCTCAAGAAGGAACAACTTAAAAAAGGTGAATGTGAGTCAGAAATGTCCTGCCTTGGGACCAGCACTGATCATCATCAAGACTGCAAACTTTTGACTCAACCAGTTATGCAGCTTCTAAATTAATTTTGTAGTTTGTTTATTTCAAGCATCAAAGAAATAACTACTAGAAGTTTTAGTTACGTGCAAATGCTATGAACGTTTCCTGTAAATGCATATTACATCTCTTGGAATGTATATACTGAACGACCTTAGCTAAAGCTAAAAGTCAGATGGAAGCAAGGAAATAAACTCACTTGTCAAACTCATCAAAGAGATCACAACTCTGCAGTTTTGAAAGAGCATGTCGAAAATATTCCGCTAGAAAACAAATGGAATATTATGAATAAAAGGATAATCATGGCTTTGTATGGACATAGTAAGCCACCCTGCTCCCTTCCCGCCAAACCCACTTCCACCTGACATGCCACATTTGATTTATTCTATGAAAAATTAATGATACACATGCAATCAACCAGCACTGATCAGTAAGCACATTTAACATGATAAACGCTCTAAGGACACTTTCCAAAAATCCCAGAAAAAACATGATGCTTAATCTGAAAACCATCATTAGAAAGTAATCCAAAAATTAGCAATATCAGATGATTCTGAAACTGACATTAGAATAGAAAAATCAATAGTAAGTTTAAGCCAATTGCAGTCCTGTCACCTCTTGGGTTTTTAAGGTCTCTCAAAAATCTAGAACTTAAAGCTATATAAGGCCAATTAGTTATCAATGAGCAGAAGGGAAAGTGCTTCATCATTAGAAGACAGAATAATTCTCTCTAAATTTAACAAAAATAAAATATCTACTGATTAAGATAAATGATTGATTGAGGAACTAAAGCTTGAGGATGAAATAAAACTCACAGATAAAGAGGTAAAATGGGGAGATAGGAAGGAAGTTAACCCTCAGGGTTAGCTGGAGCTAATTCTAAATCAGAATAAAGTGAGGCATCAGAACTCACACGAATCATTCGGTGTCAGAACAAATGTAAAAAGCAGTTTCTCAACAACAAAAACAAATGCGCCTTTTTTATCCTCTGCTTCTACACTGCCTCAAAAGGATTGGAGATTTATATTTTAAAATTTAATTCCTTTCATCACATCCCAAAACCATATCCCTTAGGAATCATTAGGAAGCAGAAAGATTAAAAGGCCTAAAAATTATATAAACATGCTGTTCTCATCAAACACCACTCAAATTTAACAGGGCAGGGTAAAAATAATACTACTGACCTGATCTTCTTATCCCATAGGGCAAATCAAACTTATCGCTACCATACATGGAAGCAATCTTTTCAAAATCAGCTGCACACAGAAAAGGGTGAAACTGATGAGACCTGAAAGGAAAGGATAAAGGATGATTTTGCCAAATGCTTATTATATTTGTAGACTTTAAAAATCACAACTGAAAATAACTGTAGTATATAATTCATATTGTCATACTGACTGCATGAAAATGTATAATTATTTTTACATGTTTTAAAAAATAGTTTTAAGCAGCATTTGACTGTTACATGGAATGGGATATACAATGGACCTACACAACTAGACCAAAAACACTTTCCAGGTACTGAAACAAAAATTATGTTACAGCTCAGGGGATGAAAACAAAATCTAAAAACAAACCAACACCAAGTGATAAAATGATAGCCATATATGGGAAGAAACAAAGAAAGTAATAAAAGTATTGATGCTAAGCCTAAATTTAAAAGTACCATATGTATGAAGTTGTATCAGCTGTAATGAATAATTTGTCTGGGATCACTAATCCATAAATGAAAAAGCTGAAATCCACACCCGACCCTAATTCTAAGGAAGAGATGTCCTCTCTGTAACAGCTCCAGGTTTCAGAGCAGAGCTTCTCCAAATTGCCACTGGCTTTTCTGTATTTCTGAGAAAGTATCCTCAAGCCACTCTAGGGGACTGCCCTCAGAGAATACTGTTCACATGACAAATGCAAATCTACTTGTCACTTCAACTGTAGACTTATGTACCTGCTGAGCAATCTTGTGTAAATATTTTATTACCCCTTTTGAGTTTTCTCAGAAATGAAAAGATTTTTTTTTCACTAGGTTTAGAATGCTTTGATTCTAGAGTAGTATTTTAACCTGCAATCTGCAATCCATATGTGGCTCATAAAATCAATCTTGTGAGTCAAGATCATCAATATTTTTAAAAAGTGAATAGAACAGAACACTTGGAGTAATGAGAGTAAATATTCTTCCCTTTTTTTCTTATTTTAAAGATGTGTGTATAATAGGTCTCAAATGTGTTTCTTACTATGAGTCGTGGTCAAAAAAAGTTTAAAAATGCTCTTTCAGTTTTGCAGCGGTCCTAACTGGACACACACCCACGGACAGACTCCAGGCAGCACGGCACACTTGTAATCATATGTGAAAAGGTTTTATGTATTTGCAGTTTTCCAGAGAGTTGACTGATTCTAAAGGGATGTGTAGCCCTATCAGTTTAAGAGCCAGTAATGGGGCCGGGCGCGGTGGCTCACACCTGTAATCCTAGCTCTCTGGGAGGCCGAGGCGGGCGGATTGTTTGAGCTCAGAAGTTCAAAACCAGCCTGAGCAAAAGCGAGACCCCGTTTCTACTAAAAATAGAAAGAAATTCATCGGACAACTAAAAATATATAGAAAAAATTAGCCGGGCATGGTGGCGCATGCCTGTAGTCCCAGCTACTCTGGAGGCTGAGGCAGAAGGTTCGCTTGAGCCCAGGAGTGTGAGGTTGCTGTGAGCTAGGCTGACGCCACAGCACTCACTCTAGCCCGGGCAAAAGAGTGAGACTCTGTCTCAAAAAAAAAAAAAAAAAAAAATACTAAACAGCTGTGCCGATTTTACACCATTAAACATGCCTAGAACAATCATTTATATCTTGTAATCTAAAAGCATTTTGACCAGCAATCTGTCCAAAGTTGCAGTGACAGAGAAAAAGAACATTTGTGGATGGAAGAGTAAATTCTCTACAAATCCTGACAACCACAATGAACAATCACTACTTACATTCTATGTATAATAATCATTATTTGTATTCTATGTAGTTCATTAAAAGTTAATAAAAGTCAGGGGAAATTTCCAATCATAAAGTTTAACCTAGAAGCAAGGGAGAAGAAACCACAAAATAGTAAGGGTGAAAAATAACATGGGAACAACAAGTGGGAAAAATAAAGCCCTAAAGAACAGTTTACTTTTTTATGATCAAACACAAATAGACCTCTCTAGCCTCACCTGTGTGAAAAGAATACTGGTTTCATTGAGTTCTTCAATGGCTTTTCTTAAAATATATGCAGAGCTCTGACTAAAATCACAAAAAGAGACAGGATATTCAAGCTCTTCCTTAAATATGGGAGGGTCCACTTTACACTGCTAAGATTTGTATAAAAAAGGTAAACAAGTACAGAAAATGATTACAAACACATGGTGAACATCTTGTATGTCACTTTTTGGGGGGTATATTTTTACCTCAGCAAAGAGGCAAAAGCTGGCTTTGCTAAACAAGGCTGGATCTTATTTCTCCGTTTCATTTCCACAGGTGGTATCCTATGAGACAAAAATAGTGTCAGTCAGAAACCAGAACCGGGCAGCCTGCCCAAAGGGAAGCAAATGCCCTGGGAACCCATGAGTGCCACCACTGAGAGGCTTCTCAGGCAGCAATAAAAATCCTCCCCAAAGCCCCTGAGGTTTGACAGTATGTTCGCCAAGTCCTGCACACACCTGAGGATTTGTGGATGTAAGGCAAGGCAGAGTGGAAAAGGCTGAGGTGATTATTAACCCAGAAGTCATTCAAAGAGCAGTGATTCAAAGGACCTTCAGAGACGGGCTAGGATTACTATTAATACATGGCAGAAGCCACAACCAGGCTTGCTTTTTAGAAGCCCAGAAAGCCTGAGAAACCAAACTCATCACAGGTGCATACAGCCATCTAGGTCCTCCATGCCACACCTGGGGACACCTACCACAGAAACCAGCAGCAACTACCACAGAAACACCTGACCAGAGCAGGTTCCATAGACTCTTGACTCGTGATCCCAGGGACTCCACAAATGACACTATTTAGACTCATATCTAAATATCCTCTATTCTTGGCACAGGTTAGGCCCTTGTGTGTTTCCTGAATGGAGTACTTGTCTCCACAATTTAAAAGGGTATTGTGAAACATGACAGAGCACGACAAGGAAAATAAATGAAAGGGGTGGAGGGTGGCAGGATCCAGACTTAGCCAGGAAAGAGGAAACAAGGTAATGCTAAAGAACTTATCAATAATGATCATCAATTCTGTAAAGAACTAGTATGCAAAGAAAACTCATCAATTTTTTCTATAAATAGCAGAATTCAGACTGAAAGAAATAGCCTAGACCCTTCACAGACAGACACAATTTTCAATTTGGGGGCACAAAATCCCCATAGTCAGAACGGCTAGGTTTCTGAACTATGAGGCTAGTAAAGTCCTTATGCAGGGAAACCTATTTTGTGAATACCCTGGATGGCAAGGACCCCTCGCTTTATAGGTAAGGAAGATCCATAAATATGTAGACTTGCATGTCAGGCCATAAAAGCTAAATTATATTTGGAGAACAAAATGAGGTACAGGATATTTGAGTCTAAAGTCATTAAAATATAGAAAAAAATTATTTAGGATAGATATTGTGAAGACAAACTTTGAGTGGCTTTTTTAAAAATGACAATTAGCAGCCAAACAGGTTTTACGGAAGCAAGTTCATTGCATGAACACCCATCTGAGGTCATTTCCCGTGGCACCTGCTGTGACTGGAGTCATATGTTAGCTTAGGTCACTCCTCAAATCCTGATGACAAAACACTGTGCTGAATTTAGACTCTTTTCATGATCTGCCATTTTCCCTGTGACCCACAATAAGATTTGCAGGAAAGTAGCAATCTGGTAAGTTTTTGCTTTCTTTTCTGCTTTTGTATTCTGCTACTGCGGGACAGAGAATGTGGCAGAGATGGAGGGACAGATCCTCATTTAGTTTATAATCAGACTTCAAAGTTCTCTAGCCCAATACTTAGGTCAAAGGCTAAAATTTGAGGACCGAACCCAGCCACCTGGCATTGGATATTTTTCCAGTGACCATTTGCCTAACTTCCTTCCACGAAAAGTATTACAATTATTTTTCAATCAACCAGTAATGAAATTAAATGCAGAAGCATCTATTTTTTTTAACCTAGTACATACAAGCTAGAAATATGATCTAAGATCTACTATTGAAACACTGGCAAAAAAATACTGATTCTTTGTCTAAGACAGGAAGTTATCATGTGATTTATTTTATAACTATGTGCTACCACCCATTCAGTATTTAAAGGTCATCAAAACTTTTTTTACTAGCCAAAGGACTGGCAATGGGGAGAAGGGTAAAAAAACCTTATTATAGAGGCTTTACCTGCATCAAAACTATCTGTGCCTCTTCGAAGTTTTATATGTGACATTTTAAGCCAAAGCGATTTCAAAAGATATATATGTCATCATTCACCAAATATTTTTAAGCAAAGGAAACCATGTGTAGCATCTATATTTTATCAACAATCTCTTATTCAAGCATTTTAAGTTCTAAAAGCCGAGCACCCTGAGTCTGAGAATTACTCCATTAATTTAAGGAGATGAACTACTGTAAAATAAAGAATGTTATATCCCAAAGATGGTCAACACCACTGCTTCACTGCAGAGTCAATAAAAAGTAGGCTGTCACTTATCA